GACTCTGCTAAACCCTTGGCCCAAACAGCTTTAGTCATTAGCCAATAAAGCAACACATATACAGAAGGACGTCCCACATCATTGTTCATCTTTTCTTTTCCTTTTTTCCATTCCACAAATATTTGTTAGGTGGTTTATCTGGTAGATGTTAATTTTACTCCTGGAGACACAGTAGTGAGTGAAGGCCCCAAAGTCTTTGTTCCTATGGGAGAAGCAGTCACAAATTGAATGGATGACTATATGACATACATAAAATAGTTACAGAGTTGATAAAGAACAAAGCAGAAGAGAAGGATAGGCCCATGTGGTTAGAGTTAGGTCCAGTCATCCTCAGGTCAGAGTAGGTAGAACCCGAAGAAACTACAGCAGGTGTCTTAGTTCATATTCTAGACATAGTTGGAATAGTAACTAATTGCTAGAAACAACAGAGATCATGTCTTTTACATTATGGGCCAATATATAATTTTTCTGAAAGTATTTTGTATGTGTGTGTGTGCATGTTGCATACCATGAGAAGTGAAGAGACATCAGAAGACAGCCTGTAGGGGTCAGTTTTCTCTTCCACCAAGGGGGTCCTAGGGGCCAAATCCAGGTTGTCACTGTCCCATCTCATAGGACTCCTGAAGATATTCAATAGCTGAAATATTCACCTTCTACTCGACTCCACTGAATTATAATTGTAGTCAGTTAAATTCATACGATTAACTTCTAGTTTCAGTTTATCTGTTTTAGAGATTAAATTATGCCAGGGAGAAATACTATCTTTAAATTTTTTTTTCACAGTAAATGGGCTAGGCATGGTGGCACACAACTTTAATCTCAGCACTCAGAAGAGAATAGAGGTAAGGAGATCTCTGTAAGCTGAAGGCTAGCCTGGTTGTCATAGTAAGTTCCAGGCCAACCACAACCTAGGGATACTGTCTCAAAAAAGAGTGGTTTTTGAGATTTGCCTTTTTCCTACGTCAGAATTTTCAGTAGATGTTCAAGGAAACCTCTAGTTGTGGACCAAATGCTTTTGAGGTGGTTTGTGTCTTCTCAGGAGCCAACTAAAAGCCACAGCGTTGAAATGGGAGCTTAACGGCCTCAACCAGAATCCAGTCTTTTGCACATTCCTTCCTAGGATGGAAATCTCCCAGGATGCACCTGAGTCTACACTCAAGTACTTGGGTGCAGCTGTGATGAAGCCCTGCAGTATTTGCTTGATCTTTAAAGCTACAGATCCTTAGAAGAAAATCACAGGATGCTGGGGCGTGTTTCTAATGTATGCGAAGACGCAATTTACCAGAGTAGAGGAAGGAGGCAAGACTAAAGACCCATGCTGGCCATGAGCTTCACACGCCAGGTTCCTGAGCTGCCTGCATGTGTATGTGTGTGTTTGCATGTATGTATGTACACGTGTGTGTCTGTCTGTCTGTCTGTCTGTGTGCATGTGTGTATCTGGTGTATTTGTGTCCATGTGTATATGTGTGCACATGTGTGTGTGTGTATGTGAGGTGAGTATGGTCATGCCACTTTGCCTGTGAGCTTCCAGAGTTTCTGCTGGTTCTACCTCCCATCTCATTTAGGAGTAGTGAGGTTATAGGTATAACCAGCTTTATGTGAGTTCTGAGGGTTTGAACTCATGCCTTCACTCCTGTGTGGCAAGAGCTTTACCCCCTGAGCCATCTCCTCAGCCCTTAACCACTCTAACGTGTATTGTGGAATATTAGTTTAAGATGTGTTACATTTGTTTATGCTGTGAAACATTTGTATTAATGATGCAAAGGTGTGTTGTATTCTTTTATGTTGCATTTGTTTAACTCTGTGAAGCTGTGTTGTTTTGCCTGTCTAAAATAACCAATTGGTCTAATAAAGAGCTGAATGGCCAATAGCTACGCAGGAGAAAGGATAGGTGGGGCTGGCAGGTAGAGAGAATAAGTAGGAGGAGAAATTTGGTAGGAGAAGAAGAACAAGGAGAGGAAGACATCAGGGGCCAGCCATCCAGCACACAGTCAACCATGGAGTAGGGGTGAAAGAAAAAGTATACAGATGTAGAGAAAGATAAAAGCCCAAAAGATAGATGATGTGGGATTCCCCTCTGTTTGCTGTGAATACCACTGGTGAATAAAGAAACTGCTTTGAGCCTATAGCAGAGCAGGGCAGAACAGAAGTGGGCGGGGAAAACTAAACTGAATGCTGGAAGGAAGGAGGAGTAAGGGAGAAGCCATGGAGCTGCCGCCAGAGACAGACATGCTGAAACTTTGTCAGTAGACCTTAAATAATGGAGATGGGTTAGTTCTAGATGTAAAAGCTAGCTAGCAATACACTTAAGTAATTGGCCAAGCAGTGATTTAAATAATACAGTTTCTGTGTGATTATTTCAGGGCTGAACTGCCAGGTGGCTGGGGAACAAACAAGCAGCGTCCTTACTACAGATAGATGGGAAAAGCTTGCTAGAAACAAGCCAAGCTAAGGCCAGACATTTATAAGAATAACCTTCTATGTGTGATTTATTTTGGAGCTGGGTGACAAATCCCCCAAAAGAGCTAAGAAGCCAAAATAGTAAAAAGAGAAAACAACAAACACCTGACATGGTGATGCTATCATCTGCTTAGGTGGCCCCTAGGTCCTGGGCTCTATGGATGCTCCTGACACCGCCCCTCTGTGCTTTCTTTTACCTTGAAGGTCTTTGGAAGCTGGGAGCTTGAGTTGGGCCACATACTCAAGGCATTTAGGATCACATTTAGGTTTTTATTCTAAGAACCAGAATGTGCATGCAGGAGACTGCCCTAGCTCAGCTTCCTCAGATGAGTGAGCGGGAACTGAACATACAGCACTGGAGGCAGAAGGACCAGCAAAGCCCCAGAGTGGCAAGGTGGGGAGGAACAGGATGCATGCCCAGAACTTGGCTTCTGGGTCCCCTTCCTGAAAGGCACCCAGAAGTCTCACACCCTGGGTGGAGGCTGTGCACACTGCAGGGGAAAGGCCACTCTTTTTTTCCTGTCCCGGTGGGACGTTTCAATGCTGCCGTGTCCTCCGGGATGTTTCCATATCCTGCCCTGCCGTGTTCCATATGCTGGTGGTGCAGGCTCCTCTGCAGTGCTCCAGCTCCCCTCTCTTCCAGGGGGATCCCTGCAGGACTTGAGGAGGACCTAGCAGCAGGAGCTCTTGGAGTTCCTGGGTGTCTGCATACCTCGGTGTGGAATGTTCAGCAGACCCAGCACTCCTGCAAAGAGGCTGTTCCCCGCCCCTCACATTTCCCTTTCAGCACAAAAACTCCATTTATTTTTATTGCCTAAGAATAAAATTCCTGTAAAGCTGTGGTCCACTTCTGCATAACATTGAGCACAAACCAGTGGCCTTACTTGCAGAAGCTTCCATCTTTCTTCAAGGTTGGTTGGCCAAGGTGTACTTCGGGATCACACACGTGGATCTTTATAGCTCTGTCTCTCACTGAAAAGCATCCATGCCATTTGGCAACTCTTTGACTCCCGCTCCCTGGCTGTGAGCTTCTAAGCTGTACATGCAAGGCCATGCACTGGAGAGACACGGGGAGGGCTCACCAAAGACTTATAGGGACTGGGTGGACCGTTCTAGAGGCATTCCCCACTGTTAGAGACCAACAGTGGGTTTCATGATGAGGCATAAGAGACAGACAGGCCTGTGTGCACTTTCCTCTAGGCTGTGCAGAGAAGAGCCAAAGAGGTGCAGCCTCGGCATTTGGGTTGCTGTGCTTTGCAGGTCTCTGCTGGTTAGTTCTGTCAGCTTGACACAGCCTAGATTCTCTTGAAGCAAGTCCCAGTGAGGTGTTGTCTAAATCAGGTTGGCCTGTGGCATGTCCGTAGGGGATCATCTTGTTTGTTCCTTAAGATGAGATTTATTCACCCCGAACAATGTGGCAGCAGAGGTGGGCCCCGAACTGTGTAAGAGTGACAAAGAAAGTCAGCTGGGCAGAAGCACCCCGGGAAAGTGGCACCTGTGCTTTCCCCTCTGCTCTTTTGTTTTGGGGTGTGGTGGTGGTGGTTTGAGACAGGGTTTCTCTTTGTTCTGGGACTTGCTCTGTAGATCAGGTTGGCCTTGACCTTACTGAGTTCTTTATGCCTCTGCTACTGACCATCGATGTGATGTGAAGAGCTGCTCCAAGTTCCTGCTTTGGCATTTCTCACGACTGTGACCTGAAATCTGGGCAAGCCTTTTCTCTTCTAAACTGCTTTGAGTCAGGGTGTTTTTGGACAGCAGAAAGGACACTAGGACAAACCCCACAGGGTAAATGAGTTTCTTTGTTCTGCAGGATTCTGCAAAACTTTCCCTAAAACAGCTTCACACAGAAATGGTTCCAGGGTCCTACAGCACAGGGTCTTAGTCTGGGGTGTGGCATCAGAGTGACTCAGAAGCAGAGGAGCAGGGGTACCCCTAGAGTTTAGTATACTGCACCCCAAGCTCTACATTCCCGACAGTTCTCAGGAATATTAATCTTGACCACAGAGCCATCTGTACACTCTTCACCTTCAAATCTCATGGTTTCTATGAAGTCTGTCAGGAAATAACCCAGAGGCCTTTTCTGCTGCCATCCTGCCTCAGTTTCTCTCAGTGCAGGATGAAGGGTCACTGTTTTCCCTCCAGGTATTAGGAAGAACTTCATTTCTTTAGGCAGGCAGGGGTCAAGTACAATCAGGTTTAGGATTCCTACAAAGATCATCTAGAATTCAAGAAATGGCTTCACACTTAAGAGAGTTTACTGCTCTTTCAATAGACCTGTGTTGGCATGTCAGGCAGGAACATGTTAGGTGGCCCACAGCTCCTGTAACACTAGATCTAGGGGAATCCAGTGCCCTCTTCTGGCCATTGAGAGCAACTGCACTCATGTGCACATACCTCTGCATAGACACACATGAATAAATACACACAATTAAGAATAAAAGTAGACCTTAATAAAAAGATCACCTACTGTTTTTCCCCTTATTCACACTTGCAGATAAAAATTTTTTCAGCCACATTAAAGGAAAACGCCAGTCTTGATGTTTAGGAAAAAAAGTTCATTCCTTCATCCTTCCAAACAAGGTACAATACAACTGAGTAACAATACACACTTCTGAAAACCACAACAGTATCTTATATTCCTCACTGCTCTTTAAGTATAATTCAGATATTAAGGAAAAAAGCTTCTAATCACATTAATACATTACAGAAACCAAAATTAACTTACCACATAAAATAAATTAAAACATTACATATCAACCTTCAGTGCATCATATACAGAAGTCAGAATGATGAGTTCTAAGACAGCATCAGGTTCCTTATAATAAAGTTACTACTCTACAGAGAGGAGTTGCTGTTCGGTTCTCTCTGTGTGTAATCATGTGCACGAGTGTGTGCAACACTAGGTCTTTGAGACAGATAAATGGCTTCAGGGAATAAATCTTACACCAGAACATTAAAAACAAACGTAAGTCAGGCATGGTGGCATACACCTGTAACCCAGGAGGCTGAGGCAGGGTTTGAGGCTGGCCTGGGCTACAGAGTAAAACCCTGTGTCAAAAACCATATGTGTTGTTTAGTATGGCCTCTCCTTGGTCCTGGGAGCGACAAGCTTAGAACTCACCACAGGACTGGGCCTGTGGGCAGGGTTAGAATGCTGTTGGCTCACCCAGTAACTAACAGTCGCTAGGAAAGCTGGCCTGGGGACTCCAGGTGACTTTCTGTACTTGGGAACAACCCACGACTCCAGCCTTAGAGCCAGAGCCTCACCCTTCGCCAGTGTGCGTGTTTAGGACCAATCTTGCCTCCTGCCCCTTTTTTGGGGGGAGTGGGAGAAAACGCACTTTGGGACTATTGGTCCCACCCTTTTTCTAGGACACATGACAAACTGACTCCTGGCTTGGTTCTGTATTTGTCCATCTGGAATCTGTCTTTCAGGCTGGAGTTGCCACTGTATTTTTTCCATGGAGAAAATGTGTCCTATGGTGTGTTCAAGGTTACAACCAGAGGTGTGGCAGCCTTTCTAAAATTCAAAAATTCATTTTTATTTTTAAAAATTAGTGAGTGTGTGTTCTCTCCTTCCACCATGTGGGTCCCAGGGATTGAATTCGGGTCCTCAGGGTTGTTGGCAAATACTTTTACTCATGGTGCCATCTTGATGTCCCTGGAATTAATTCCAATTCATTCTGTGGGGCTGTTCATTGTCCCCTGAGTCACTGAACAACTGTGCTGTCCTGTGTGGCTGCTGAGGATTACTCCTTGTTTATAGCTGTGTTGAACATCAAGAGAGGGCCAGGAAATACAGTGTGAACTGACAGGAAGGTGCTGTGGGGAGCATGGTGTGAACTGACAGAAGGGCACTGTAGGGGGCATGGTGTGAATTGACAGGAGGGCAATGAGGGGAGCACAGTATGAACTGACAGGAGGGTGCTGTGGGGAGCACAGTGTGAACTGACAGGAGGGTGCTGTGGGGAGCACAGTATGAACTGACAGGAGGGTGCTGTGGGGAGCACAGTGTGAACTGACAGGAGGGTGCTGTGGGGAGCACAGTGTGAACTGACAGGAGGGTGCTGTGGGGAGCACAGTGTGAACTGACAGGAGGGTGCTGTGGGGAGCACAGTGTGAACTGACAGGAGGGTGCTATGGGGAACACAGTGTGAACTGACAGGAGGGCACTGTGGGGAGCACAGTGTGAATTGACAGAAGGGTGCTATGGGGAGCATGGTGTGAACTGTCAGAAGGTGCTGTGGGGAGCATGGTGTGAACTGGCAGGAGGGTGCTGTGGGGAGCACAGTGTGAACTGGTAGGAGGTGCTGTGGGGAGCATGGTGTGAACTGGCAGGAGGGTGTTGTGAAGAGCATGGTGTGAACTGGCAGGAGAGCGCTGGTAAAGTTAATCAGGGCTATCTCTGTTGTGAGATGGCCCAGGGAGGAAAATAACATCGGTCTTCCAAAATCAGTCACCAAAAATCAGGGCTGTCATCTGTTGGGGCAGGAACGATGTCCAGCCAGACTCATCACAGCCTAGCCTTAGCTTCTGACTCTTCAGACCCGTTGTTTTACAAAAGACCTGGCTGGGAAGGCACTTCTAGGGGCATTTGAGCTGCTGCATTTATGTATAGGCACCAGGAGGGCTACTGGCTGCTGTGATTGGCTGGGCCTGAGAACTGGGATGCTCAGACCCCCAAGCTGAGGTCCTCCCTGGGATCCTCCGCCTTCACCATCATATGTCCATCCTAATTTTCCCCACCTTTGCTGAGTCTTCGATGACAATTCCTGGTGACATCTTTAGGATGGGACATTAGTGAAGAAGTTCCCATCAATACTTTGATGTCAGTTCAAAATCTTTAAAGAAGTCAGATGTTCAGGACCCTCCAGCAGACCAGGGAAGATCTGTCATCTGAAGGTAATGGTGTGCACTAAATGAAAACAAGCCCTGTGCCTCATTTGTGTAGGTCCCCATGAGTCAGGACTTCAGGCAGGGTCCTACTGAAAATGCTGGGGCCAATAGAGGTCTAAGGTCCAGTGTAGTTGATCGGTCTCTGAGCAGCAGGCTACACCCGACCTTGACCCACATGGATAACCCAAGGAAAGCAAACTTAACCTATTTTCTTTAAAAACTGAAAAACTCTGCTGGGCATGGTGGTACACACCTATAAGCCTAGAACGCAGGAGGCTGGAGCAGAAGCACCTTGAGTTCAAGGTCAACCTGGGCTATACAGCAAGAACTTGTCTCACAAAAAGAAACAACAAAACATCAAACCAAAATAATAATAATAACAAAAGTGATGAATTATGCCTGGAGCCGCGTCAGCTCTGTAGCTAGAGGACAGCTCCGGACAGACCCAGTTTCTTCTTTTGGGGCTTCAGTTGTTGTGAGGAGAGCAGGCCAGGGTTAAGACCTGGGGCAGATCAATGCCTAGATCCTAGGAGAAGAGAAAAATCTACAGAAAAAGGTGGGATGGAAGAAGAATGAAGCAAACTTTCTGATAGAAACCAAATCGACTTGGTGTATCGAATGCCCTCTCCCGAGGCAGAGTCAGAGGTTCTAGGTGGCTGATGGGGGCGGGCTTTACACTTCTGAGTTAGACAATGTCCTCCTCCCTAAGCAGCGTTATATACTAACTGTCATTCTGTCTCCAGACAGTACCGAGCAGCCCAGGGATGTGGGTGAGCCCAATGGGTCAGAGCACCCTAGGGTGCTCAGGTCTCCTTCTCCAGAGGGGAGTGGAGAGGTTTGGTAGCAATTTTGTTAATAATGCCAACGTTCTGAAAGGGAAGAAAACAAAACAAACAAACAAAATCCAACAGTGGGATATTTATCCTAATGCTTGAAAATAAATAGGAAAGTTAAGTTTCTCCTTCTGAAAATAAAGCAAAAACCAAGGCAAAAGCATGGAAAATAAAGGGCTGGTCCCCTTCATGGATTTGGCCCATAACTTGCTGCTAATGCCGGAGCTCACGAGGAAGTTAATCCACTTAGCCAAGCACTGGCATGTGTGTCCTCCCTAGGTGTCCCCGCAGGCTCTTTTGTGCTCTTGCCCCCGTGGGAGGGGGCTCTGCCACTGGCCTTGCTAACTTTGCGACCATGTGTATCTGGGGGGACTTTTCCGCTTTGTATCTTAGAGGGCATGGCCTCCAAATAGCAGTTCTGTTCCCATCAGAGTCACTTTTGGCCTCTGTCCCTACAGCCCCTGGGAGGCACCTCTCCCTGCAGTCGGGCTTTATCAAAGTGGCTGGACGTTTCTGTTTGGTGTAACGTCACAGTCAGCTGCTCTTGTATCGTTAATGTGGATGCCTGACATTGACTTAAGAGATCAAAGATAAAACCATTATCCATCGAATAAATAAGACACACATCCTGGCAACAGCTTGAGGAGATGTCAAGGGTCCTAGGAGGCCACGCTGTCTTCATATAGTAATAGGCTTCTCCCTTGTCCATTTTGTACATCAACCATGGAGTCTCTGCTGGGACCAGATGGCCCATTGAGAAGAAACAGCCTGGTATCCATGACTGGCAGGAGACACCAACCCAAGTGCATGCCTGGTGTGGGTTAGCAAGAAGGCCAGGAAGCCCTTTGAGGTTCTCGTTCAGTTTGTCTTGAAACATTGTCTACTGGCCTCTTCTCTAGGGTGCACTGAGGAAGCCCGGCAGACAGAGTTACCACACAGTTTTGAAGGCCTATAGAGGATAGATGGCCGCACAGGCATTGTGCCCTGCACAGGGAAAGTCTGCCAGCAGGTCCCAGGAACGTGGGTACTGCCAGTGGCATTGTCCCAAGAAGCTTTTCTGGTGTTGGCCTTCCATAGGTCACCTGGCCGAATTCCTCCTCTGGGATCTTCAGACCACTGGCAGAGAAGGAAGACAGAGTGAGTGATGTGGGTCCAAGCTGGGGAGACAAGCTGGGGACAGAGACTTTGGGGCAACATCATCCAATGTCACCGATGTCTCTCAGGAACCAGGCCCAGTTCTAGGCCAGCTTCAGGGGCATCAGTTTCTGAAACTACGCCTTCAGTGACAATAGACTATGAGTTACAGTAGAGGGGGTGGGGTTGTAATGGAGAAAGATGAGTTAGAGTAGCCAGGAGGTTGGGGGACATATTTCTGTCAGGAGGGCTGCAGTTCAGCCAAACCCATGACTGGTTTTCCTGTCAGGAGTGGCAGGGAGAAACAGCCCTTCGCTTCCCTCCTGTTTGGTCTCAGCACCTCTGTGCCAACTTGGAAAATGGTGGCCATTTTCTCCACCCAGGGTACCTTCCCAGGAAGAAAAGGGGAGAAACTGTTTTGTACCTGTCTCAGAGTGGCAGCAAGCGGTCCTTCCCTTCAGAAGGGCGCTGGGCTTCTCGTGTCTGCAGACAAGGGCGCGGCACCACTCACAGTGCTTGCGGATGTGGCAGCAGCTGGTGACAGAAGGGACAGGTTGAGTTGCACCTGCCTGGCAGGGGAGCCCAGCTGGGCAGCCCTGGGTTCTCACTCATCAGCCACGCCAGACCCTGAGGACCCGGACAGTTACCCACCAGCCTCAAAGAACCTGTTGGCTGCTGCACAGACAGGGCCACCATTATTGCTGGAGCTCTGCCTAGAACTCCCTGGATCACCTGGCTCCAGACTCCCTAGTTGGCTGAGGGGACAGCCACCTAGCTGCTTGCTGTCTCCATATTGGGCCAGCTGAGAAGTTCTGCCAGTGTAGCAATGGCTTTATAGCAGACATGAGGACTAAGACCAGCAGACCCTGGGGTTGGAGGCCATCATGCTTCAGGGGTGGCCAAGTCATCCCTGGGCTTGTGTCCCAGATGCCCGATCATCAGCAACTCACCAGGGCAGTGTCTCTTATTGGCCTGTGTGCAACCTGGCCAGCCTTGGAGGACAAAAGCCTGGCCTTGCTTTTATATCCAGCCTCATCAAAATAGCCTTTGTGCTTTCTGCAGTCCCAGCCTTCAGTCAACCTGAACTGTGCTGACAGGCTGCCTTTAACTGAAGAGCGCCTTGGGCCAATTCAAACTAGGTAGGATCCTCTGAGCCCTTTGACTTAGAATAAACCATCCCAGGGATGAAGTCCGGCTTGGTGTCAGCTGCTGGGAATCCAACACTGTGTATCCAGGGCTCTGGTTGTACCAGCCAGGTCAGTGGGCAGCTATGGACAAGCTAATAGGATAAGACACTCCTGCAGTCTCCTTTGACCTGGGTCTCAACACAGGTCCCTGGAGGATACAGTTTAGAGGACAAGAGGGTGGTGGTGGAGAAAGAGGGAGGGCGCCGAGGGTGAGGACACCAGGGTGCAGCAATAGCACCGGGAGCCCCTGACGTAACTTCAGAATTTATCAAATGCTTTTTGCAGGGAGGAAGAGCTTTGCTGCAGACCAGGGGCGCTGAGCTGTTTCCAGCTCCCTCCAAAGCCCCTGCCCAGCTCACAGGTTTTCAGAAGGCTCTGGGTTCACAGGCAGGGGTAGGGCATGTCTTTGATTTGACATGACTTCTAGAAGAGCCCAGAACCACTGCTATTGCCCACCCGTGTTCCAGGTGTTTGCACGTATTGCCTGACACTGGGTGGAGAGACGTTAACCCTCTTAGCTGACGTCACTCTCACGTCACAACAATGTGGCTCTTCTGTGTGGCCATGTTCTAGTTGTTCCTGGCAAGGCAGGCCGTTGGGGGACATGAACACAGGGGTGGCAAATACTCACTGGATCAGCACACAGGTGACAATCAGGACAGCCAGGGCCACGATAGAGACCACCACCAAGGCAGTGATGGCCTGTTTCTTCTGACTGGCAGCCACCACGGCCAGGAGATCCGCATGCTCGCAGCGAACCCCCACGTACCCAGAGTGGCAGCTGTGGGAGAAAGGAATGTTAGCTTGCCTCTGACAGAGGGGCTTCTTTACCCAAGCTAAGCTGGAAGGACCTGGGCTTGTTGGACAAGTCCCAAAGGGCCTCCGTCTCCCTTGTGATTGGAGACCCAGGCGTGAGGCCTCTTTCTTACCATGCTGCTGCTTGCTGAGGGGAGGGGAAACTGATCCCCTTCTTCACCAAGGGAGCACTTGGGATCTCTGCACTGTGTTAACTCTCGAGCACTGAGGACAAGAACTTCATTTTGGTAGGCAATGAAGCTCTGTGTGTGCATGCTCATGCGTGTGTGCATGCTGGTGTAGGTGCATGGATGGATGTGTGCACATCTGTGGAGGCCAGAAGTCACTGTTTCGTATCTTTCTCCATCACCCTTTGTCTTATTTTGGAGACAGAGTCCCTTACTTTATCTGGACTTCCCCTATATGGCAAGGTTGTCTGGCCACTAAGTTCCAATGATCCCCTTGCCTCTGTCTCCTCGGCTATGGGGTTAAATAAGTCGTTACACCACTTTCCCCCATGGGAGTTAGCAATCTGGACTCAGGTCTTCATAGTCTTGTGGCAAGTATTTTACCAACTGAGCTGTTTCCTCAGCTCCAAATTCAGGTTTGTTTGTTTGCTTGAGACAGGGTCTTCCTATGTAGTCTTGGCTGCCCCAGAACTCACTATGTAGACCAGGTTGGCCTCAAACTCACAGAGATCTGCCTGCCTCTGCCACCCAAGTGCTGGGATTAAGGGCACGTGTTATCACGCCTAGCCCAAATCCAGGTTATTTTAAAACCAAATTTGCTTATTTAGAATTTTGAATGAAAAAAATACACTAGATGAGTAGTTGGTGCTTGCCTTTTCTGTCTTCTTCACCAAGTCCATTTCCTGCTTGGTTCAGTGCATCATCTGGTCCCTCCAGGAAGGGATGAGGGCCTGGCACTGTCACCTGGTCACATCAGGGCTGAGAAGCCTCTGGACTCCTGTGAGATCTTGTGTGTTGGCAGCCAGTGAAACACGCCTGACCTCCACACAGTGCGTGAAGACATTAATGAGGTCAGGTGTGAACGTGCATGCTGGTGCGTGCATCGCCAGCCCATTCATTCCTGGTCTGGCTGCACCTGCAGCTTCTCTGGCTCTGCCATGCCAAAGGCAGCCTCCTGTCTGCACAGGGTTGCTTAGTGGATGGTTCTTTATGATGCGCTGGTGATGACAAGACATGGGCCACTTGCTTTCCTGGCATTCCTCCAAGCATGCGACTCTTTTTAACAGAAAAGTGACACCATGGTCCCTTTTTAAAAATCCTCAATGTCAATATTGAGTTCCAGCTCTCTCAGGCAGGAAGCTTCCTTGAGGAGCAACCCCACATCACACATCAAATTTACATTATATTATATACATTTTAAACTATGGCTAAGGTAGCTAATATTCTTAAGTCTATGCTTGAATTACCTTTAACTTGCAGCTGTCAGGTAAACGGGCTTTATAGAACACAGGAAGGACAAGGCCCTCCCTGGGGTACCCGGGGCTGTGCCAGGCTGGCTCCACAGCCATCCCAGGTGGAATCCCTGAGTTCAGTCTCCTCAGCCCCCAGGCCCAGCTCTCACGAAGGCTCATGGAGCTACAGGACAAACAGGGCATGTTTTCTCAGATCATGGCTTCTGTCCAGGGCTAAACATCAGCATCTGGATGCTGAAGGGTTGGGCATTGTAGTGGGTTTAAGGCTAATGGCAGCCTGAGATATGGTGCGCACACCCTTCGCCGAATCACCCAAAGGTGGCTATTAGTTGAAGCCCAGATAGTTGAGTTTATTATTGTTTTTGTAGCCTTGGCTAGCTCACACTCATGATCCTCCTGCCTCAGCTTCCGAATGCCTGGATGGCAGTCGTGCACCACCAGGCTTGGCTACTTGTTCTTTGGTTGGGGTTACTTTGTGTTTGGTGTGCTTTCTCGTTTAATCTTGTTATGGAAAAGCCGAGCCACACTTTCCTGCACCTGTTCTCGGGACTTGAAGGACATTTGTACCAAGTCCAAGACTGGGGGCTGGCTCCCTCTCCTTTGCCAGATGGTAGGCTTATGGTTTAGCGTCTTATCTTGAAAAGTAGAAAAGACTGGAGTTTAAGTTAAGCGTGCTGTAAAGAGCTTGTGTCCTTGGTAACTAAGAAAGTTAGGCAGTGCTAACAGGGAAATAGAAGAATGCCCTGAGGACCTAGATAGTCGGGCTGTCTACACGGACTCTCATGTAGATAGACGGGCTGTCTACACGGACTCTCATGTAGATAGACGGGCTGTCTACACGGACTCTCATGTAGATAGACGGGCTGTCTACACGGACTCTCATGGCTCAGTGCAGTGGGATGGAGACAAGATTTTGTTCCATTAAAAAAAAGAAAAGAAAACCTGCAGGGAGGCAAAGAGGAGACAATTCACTGGGTAGCCACTGCCTTTCTGGGGGGAGGCAGAGAGGAGACAGATTACTGAGTAGCCTCTGGCCTTTTCCCTGGTGGCAGATGGGGGAAACAACAGTGACCAACCCCCAGAACTGTTTGGTGATCAGCTGTTGGCTTGGGCCCACCCAATCTGAATTGTCCATGATTAGAGAACATTGGTCAGGTTCTCTCAGCCCAATCTCAAGTTCTAACTCTATTCCCGGATGTCCCTACTTTCCAGAGTCCCCGAGTTAGAGGGGACTTTCTGTGATGTTTGACATCTCCTCCATACAGGGTCTTAATCTCTCCCTCCTAGCATCCTGCAAGGTCAAGCAGCCCACATGGTCCCTCCTAGCCCAAGTGGTCACACACAGGTTCTCGGACACCTGGAATACATCCCTGACTCTCCCACACTGCCTTCCACAGACCACATTCTCCAGAAACCACGTGCTTTCTGCACAGATTCACCCACTCGCCAGCCTGTCTATTTTCCCATGGCTCAGCAGCTCCTCCCAGACCCTGTCCGTCTTTGAACGCCTGCAGCCCCACCTGTGCCCCCCCCTCTTTCCCCAGCCCCTCGCTCCTGCAGGGCAGGCCTTGTCCTACAAAATGCCCTGTGTTTCAGTAGTTCCTTGAGTGGGGAAAAAGATCAGACTTGACAGCTCATCTTCTCTTTAGTTTCTAGTCTTCTAATATTAGGCTTCATTATGCTGATTATTTTAAGCACAAGCCACATAAGGAGGGCGGAGTGTCACCTCACCTGGCGACAGATGAGTCACAGCCTCACTCTGCTGCCTTACCTCTGGCAGGCACAGCAGAGTCCCCTGGGAGTTCTAGAAACTTCTGGGTCCAAGGCCATACCCTCACTCTGGCCACCTGGCCTCCTGGGTGGCCCTAGCATGCATACAAGTCCGAGGAGCGCAGAGGTAGGACTGGCTTGGAATCTGGAACCAAGTTCAAATGCACTGGCTCCTTCTCTAGCTTCCTTCCTTCCCTTTCCTCCTTCAGCACTGTCCCAGAGTGATAGCTGTAAGAAAAGCTCCGTGCCAGGCACTGGACACGAGGGATAGAGGGGGCTGCACCCCCCTTTATGAAAAGATTCTGAATGACATAAGTGTGGTGACAATGGGGGAAGACATGAGAGTGGCGCCTTCCTCAGGGGACCATGTACACACGCAGAGAGGGTCTGCTGGGCCTGAGATGGTTGGTTGTCAGACACAAATGTCTGCAATGCTGTCTGTCTTCTGTAATTCAGTAATTCAGACCCTTCCCAGGCTGCTTCCCATGGCAAGAACAACAACCACAAAGGAAGAGAAGAGAGGGTGCCTGGCTGGGCTGTAGGACTACAGGGCTGCAGATAAGTGTTGAGGACCCCCATTCTCCTGTGCCTCTAGCAGGGGGTGGGGTGGGCCGGGCCTGCTGGTGGTTAAGGCTGCCAGTTACCTTGGAGCTTTTCCTAAGAGTTTTAACTGCAGGCCCCTCTGTTTTAACCATCTATGGCACCTCTCCTTCTCCTCTAAGGATAGCTTTTGGGTCACCCTAAGTTCCTACACCTCCTGGCTCACAATGCTCTTTAAAAATATTATGAAATATAAAAACTGCAGCTGTCAAATGTTAAGGTTTTCCTTAAGGAAAAATTTCCCCAACTAGGAAAGGAATGATTTGAGCACATTGGGAAGTATAAAAAATGTAATAAACATAGAGAAGTTCATACCACTGCCATGGCGTCGGTGTGTGTGTGTGTGTGTGTGTGTGTGTGTGTGTCTGTAAGCGACTATAATTCATATAAATGTGTGAAACTGTAAAACTGTAGAAGAGAGAGAAAAACAAACAAACAGACAAACAAACAACAACAAAACCCAATAAGAAAAGAAACCTCAAACCAGAATCTCAAGTTCTACCAGACTGAGGATGTAGCTTAGAGCAAGAGTGCTTGCCTAGCATGCACAAAGACCCTGGTTCAATTCCTAGCAACACCTGAAAAAAACCAAACCAAACCAAAACAGAAAACAAAATTCCTTTGCAAAGCCACTTTAAATGGAGCACAGTAATTCTGTGCTTTAGTTTCACCAAATTCTTTCCACACAGACAGTGCCAGGTGTGATAAGCAGAAGGCCGGGCACTATCTCTGTACTCAAAGATACTCTGTTTGTATTTCCGATTACATCCTCAGGACAAGAGCTCAGAGGTATACACAACTTGGCACAGGCTCTGTAGCCAAACTGGCCTGGATTCAAAGCCCTTTCTTCACTTCCTGTCTGGGTAACCTGGAGCCAGTAACAGCTCTTTACCACAGACTCTGCATCGTGAAGATGAAGTGCCGGTAAGGCCCGCCCCCAGTTGAGAGCACTAAAGGAGCCTTGTCTTTGTGGAGAGCAGTGTGAAGCCCACAGGCTATGTCTCTGGGAAGGATGAAATTCAACAGCAGGGGTGGGGAGGTGGTTCTGTTGGAAAGGGCTTGCTGGCCTTGTAGTTTGAGGACCTGAAATCGATCCCAAGCCAATCAAGGTGCTGAGTGCTTGTAGTCCTAGCAGACAGGCAGATTCCCGGGCTCACTGTCCAGCTGAACTCCGGGTCAGTGAGAGACTGTCTCAAAAACTAATGAGGGGTTTGAGAGTTGGCTTGGGTGGTAGTTTTTGCTAGGCAGTCAGGAGGATCTGTGTTTGGCCCCCCAGAACTCACATGAAGCTGGGCCTTGAGTATGCTTGGGATCCCAGAGCTAGGAAGGCATAGACAGGTGCATTATTGGGCCGGCTGGCTGGCCAGCCGAAACAACTTGTTCATTATGAGGCCAGCGAGAGACCTGGTCTCACCAAACAAGGTGGGTCTGGGGAGATTGTTCGGTTGTGAAGATCACTTGCTGCTCTTGTAGAGGACCCAAGTTCATTTCCCAGAAACCACACTGTTCCTCACAATTGCCTGCAACTCTAGTTCTAGGGGATTCAACGCCACCCTCCTCTGGCCATTGAAGGCATACACACACACATCCCACACACAAAGATAATCTTGAAAAACAACAAAAATCCCAAACCAACAAGGTGGACAGAATTTAGGGAACAATGCTGAAATTGACCTCTGACCTCCACACACACATGCACACATGAACTTGATCCTGCCTATTCATGTGTGCATGTGCGCGCGCGCGCACACACACACACACACACACACACACACACACACTCACAAAGGAGACGTTGTTGGTCTCTGTATGCTGTCCTGTGTTCTTTGGCAGGCGGCTGCGGGCCTGGTGACTTGCTGAGTCCCTCAGCACCTGTCTCAAGGCATGCATCGGAGCCTGAGGGTTGAGGACCAGGGTGACACTGTCTCCGAACTTGTTCTTTATCAACTTGTGCTTAACATGCCGGGCTGGGCTGGGACTGGACTCCCTAGGACTGGTGGGATGAGGACTGAGTTCACCTTTTCTTGCTCTCTGGAGAAATGGATTCAGGGCTGGGTGTGGTTCAGAGGCAGATCACTTGCTCGGCACGTGTGTGTGTGTGTGTGTGTGTGTGTGTGTGTGTGTGTGGCGGGGGGCTGGGTTCCATCCACAGCTCAGAGACAACAAAAAGGACTGATTTACCTGCTCCTATTTTTTCTTCCATGGGGCTGGGAGGTCAGGGCTTCTTCTGCAGCTCAGAGTCAAGGGTCTCTTGGGATGCCTTCGCTGACCCTGAGCCATGGGAAGGTGACACCTGTGTGAGCCCCTCTGGCAAGCCTTGTAGGCTTATGCTGTATGGGAACAGGGCCTGGCAGTCTCCTGGAGGTTTTCAGTGATGACTACAGAATTCGCCTCCTGCCACCTCTAGGTGTTCAGAGCTTAAAAGGCAGTCGTGGACCAGAAAACTAAACCCTATTTAATTAAGTCAATGAATGTGAACAGTCGCAAGTGTCCAGAGGCACAGTGGCAATCACCACGAAGTCCTTACTATGCGTCTCTGAGGTATTGGTCCCCGAGGGGAATCTGAGGTTAAATGGGGCCAGGCCACTTAGTGTATGGGACACTTATCTGGATTTTAACTCAGGTCTATCTGACCCCCAGATCCAAAGAGACCCTTACTGTCTGCTTCGGGTGGAGGGGGGCAAGAACGAAACCAAGGCATAGTTTTCTTGCGTCCTGTCATGGGTGTGGTGTGATGTCATGCTACCCTTCCCCCACAACTGGTGTTCAGATGCTAACAGAGCTGCCTGTGGGGGCTCCTGTGCCACCTGGATCTGGTCTCCTGTGGCTGCAAGGCTGCCTGTCTGTGCTGGAATGCCACTTGTGGTCCGCTCTCTCTAGGTGTCTGTCTCTGGTGACAGAGTGGCCAGGGAAGGCAGAGTGATGGGGAATGTTTTCTTTGACTGACAGAGATGTTTTGCTCTGGGGTCTCTGTCAGGGTTTAGTCACCAGGACAGATGGGAAACTTCAGTCTCCTGTGGTTCCTCACATTATCACCTGTGTGGACTCTGCCGCCACCTGCCCAGGGCACCTTGGGAAAAGGGCGGGCTGCCCCTGACCTTACATCGCCATAGTTTTCTGCTTTTGCATATCGTCCTGCCAGCGAGATTTTCACAATGTTCAGAGGAACAATCTTGGACTCATCTGAAGCAAACACGTTTGAGGATGATTTTCGCAGTGTCTGACTAGTGGTATTTTCATTGTTTGGTTTTAGAGTATGAAATGTCACTTTGGGATTTCTGATGACTTTTTTCTTCTGGGAGAGCATGTTAGGAAGCAGTGTCTGCCTCTGCACTACACTCTCAACTTGCTGGACTTCTTTACGAGGCCCTGACAGATGGGGCCCTACCTCAAGCTCTGTCAGTTTTATTGACCAGAATGTTGAGTGTGTCAACTCCTCAAAGGCGGGAGGTTCTTTAGAGCGGGGACAGAATGTTCTGACTTTCTCAGTAGAGACTCAGAGTTTCTGGTCTGGTGGGAATTAGGTAGCTAGAACATTCTTCTGGTTACTATAAATATTAAAAAGGAGCAAGGTGTGGTCCTGTGTCCTAGAGATAATACACCAGAAGGGATAGAGAAGCAAACCTCACCAGGTCTCCAGGCCCGACAACTAGCTAGACATGCTAGCTCTGTGCACCCAGAGTGCTGTGCTGAGGGCTGGGCATGGCCCTCATGTACCCCACAGTCTCTGTTGCCAAACGGACCTTCTGAGGATTAAAGGCCAATCATTCACAGCACTCAGGGGCCATGTGAATGTCTGGAGAGATCGGGTGACTGTAAGCAGATAGAGCTGGTGGCAGGTTATGGACACCAACACTCAACACTCTGCTTTGGTGTCAGGCAACACTGGGGAAAGGTGGGAATCAGAGACCTGGAGAGGACAGCCATGGCTGGGTGAGGAAGTGTGACTGGGTGATGTGTGGGCAGCCGTGGCTCGGCGATACGTGGGCAGCCATGGCTGGGCGATACGTGGGCAGCCGTGGCTGGGCGATACGTGGGCAGCCGTGGCTGGGCGATACGTGGGCAGCCGTGGCTGGGTGATACATGGGCAGCCGTGGCTGGGTGATGTGTGGGCAGCCGTGGCTGGGTGATGTGTGGGTAGCTGTGGCTGGGTGATGTGTGGGCAGCCATGGTTGGGTGATACATGGGCAGCCGTGACTGGGTGATGTGTGGGCAGCCGAGGCTGGGTGATGCGTGGGTAGCCGTGGCTGGGCTATGCATAGGCAGTTGTGGTCTGTGGGAGGTCAGACCAGCACTGTGTCTCCTGTTAAGGCAAGGAAAGCTGAGCACCAGCTGGAAAGTGTGAAGCCCAACTTCTAAAATGCACATAAAGACTTAGAGCCACCAGAGAAGAACACACAGTGTCACCTGTCATATTAACATGTCTGCTGCCTGGATACTACCCCTGGGCCACCAAGATCCAGTAGGGAAATTGAGAGAAGAGGGTGGTCACTGTTTTCCATGGTCTCAGCTTTCCAAGGTTGGCAGAGCATCCGAATCTCGGCCCTTGGCCCTGAAGAAGGCTTGGGAGAGTGGGTAGGACCAGCCCTGACCTTTCTCTGGAGTAGGGCTCACCTGCCAGAGGAAAATGCCCTGTCCTTTCTTGGAAATAGGAGAGCTTGATGACTTGAGGTGAGTTCTGTGACAGACCCACCTATGACCATCTTGTCACAGTTGCCACAGACAGATGAACACCTGCAAATATCCCTTTCTGAACCTAACAAGGCTCCCGCTGCCCAGAGGGTAAGGGATTTCTCCCAACAGGTCCTGGCCTCCAACTGCACCTGCTGCCTCCCTGCTGTGCACTGGAACCCTGGGTCTGGACACCTTGCTGCTTGTCCTGGTCAGCCCCACATCTACTAAGTGGCTTTCCTCCACGGTCTTTCTCTCTGATTCCACTGTCCATGGCAGTTACCAGTGGCTGTGCGTGTGTGTGTGTGTGTGCGTGTGTGTGTGTCCTTGTCAGACATGCACCCTACTGCATCTGGCTTTTATGTGGGTTCTGGGGATCTGAACTCATCAGCATAAGTGACAAGCGCCTTGCCCTCTGAACCATCTTTCCAGTCCTCATTGTGTGTTGAGAAGGCTCAGCACTTGGCCATACTTTGTGAGGCTCCAGGGAAACGGGAGCCACCCAGGTGTGCATGCGGACTGACCCTTTGCATCCCTTCCAGCTACTTCCCAGGCTGAATACAAAGTGTCGGCTGAATGGGAACTTCATTACAGAGGTGCAGGTACCCAGGTCAGTGCCTTCCCTCAGGAACTCCAGTCAGAGATTCTGTTAAAAACAGACCCCAGCTCTGGCCTCTGGGGCTCCTCCTCTACCTTGGGCTGGCAGCTCTCACCCTTCAGCTTCCGTCCTCTGGGTCTCAGATCCCTGGCCAGCTTCATAGAAGTAAACGCTCTATTCACTGGGTACCTGACTGCCCTCTGGAGACTAGGGGATACTTACACACACGCTGGCTTCTCCTCCTGCACCAGAAACCTGCAGGTTCCATGGAAGCAGAACTGAGTGTGGGAATCTGGGCAGTCGTTGAAGTGAGACACCACTGCAGCCGCCACGGGGGAGTCTGCTGGGGCGAAGAGACGGAGGTCAGACCTGGCACAGCCCATACCCGGGAGGGACTTCTGTCCCCACCCAACACCCCCTGCAGAACTCTCAACTGTCTAATGCCCAGCTAGGGCCCAGAGTCTTCATCAAGAAGTCTGATTATTATTCTAAGATTATAAAAGAATTTCTCCAAAGGCTTTGGTATAATTCAAAGATAGCTAGTTAGAGTAATTTTTGCAAAGAAGTTCTTTTTTGTTTTAAATAATAGCCCTAATGATAATTTGTTGGTAGTTGGGTGTGGCAGCACACAGCTGTAACCCCAAAACTCAGAAGGTAGAGGAAGAAGGGTCAGGGGTTCAAGGCCAACCTAATCCATAAACTGAGTTTGAGGCCAGTTGGATCCCATTGTCTTAAAAATCAAAAAGGGGCTAGAGAAACAGCTCAGTGGGTAAAGTGCTTGCTGTATAACACGGGTACCCGAGTTTCAGCTCTGGTACCCACACAAAAAGGCGTAGCGATGAGGACTGTGATTTCATCACTGGTGTCGGGGCAGCGCTCTATGCCTCGTGGCAGAATGAACAAGGATGCTCATCGGACATAAATATACAGACACATAGGCAGGCTGGGCTCAACTTTCCCGCTTCTTTGTCCAGAGAGCTATTGAAGAAGACATAGTGAACAATGGCAGATAACCTCCTCAACAATGTCCCAGAGATCCCCGCGGAAGCGCCTGCCAGAGTCCCCTCCCCCGGGCATCTCATGGAGTCCACACCATAAAGAAATTCCAGTAGCAGGCACAGTGAGGGTGGCTGACACCGGCTCTCAGTCCTCTGAGCACAGGGTGAGAACAAGAAACCCGCTGTAAACAGAGTGTACACTTCTGGTTCTTCCTCATGTAGCCCAGGCTGGCCTTGAACTCACTGTGTAAGCGTGCTGTCTTTGAACTCTTCCTGCCTCCACTTCCCAAGTGCTGGGATTATAGGAGTGTGACACCACACCTGGTTTATGTTATGCTGGGGACGAAACCAGGCCAGCACGCTACAGTTTGGCTTCATTTCCAGCCCACTCTGGTCCTTCATACAGACGCCTACCTGCCCTGCTGCTTAGAATGCATGCTTCCAGTTCTTTCCAATGCCCTCTGTCCTATTCAGGGCAAAGGTATCAGAAAGGATGAAGCCCATGTTACAACTAAACAGCAGTTTATTTAAAAACATTTTTTTGTCTTAATTACAGTGATACATTTGCTCTTGAAACTTTACTAGAAACTTCACAGATTTCTGGATTATGAAAGTAGTCCACCGAAACCACCGATGTACAATAAAAGCCACCCCAGAGACGAACATGCACGCATCCTTAATCCTCAACCCATCGGGAGTCATAAAAACACACACCACCAAGCGACACGCTGTGGGCTTACATTCCTGTTCTAAAGTCAAGTGTGAAGCCCATGGTGATCAGGAAACCGTCCTTGTCTGGGACCCGCAGAAGTGTGTGTGGCCCCCCACAACACCTCAGTGTGCGCTCAGATTCACAGGCAAGCACATTCCTACTGATGTTCAAGGTGGGAAGGCTGGGGAGGGCTCGTTCGTGTCAAGGGCAAAGACCAAAGATGGGCTTGCCAGGGTACCATCTCCACTTCAGGTTGGGGGGGACATTGCCTCTAGTTTATCTAAGAAAGTTTATGAGGAGACCCCAAGTTCCCAATATCTTCCCCCAAGGTTTGGTCTCTCAGCTTTTTATTTCTCCTTTTGTTCTTTTAAATGAAAAGGTATGTGTGTGTGTCTGTGTATGTGTGTCTGCTGTGTGTGTGAGTGTGCGTGTGTCTCTGTGTGTGTGTCTCTGTGTGTGTGCATGTCTGTGTGTGTCTGTGTGTGTGTGAGTGTGTGCGTGTGCCTGTGTGTGTGTGTGTGAGTGTGTGTCTCTGTGTGTGTGCATGTCTGTGTGTGTGTGTCTGTGTGTGTGTGTGAGTGTGTGCGTGTGCCTGTGTGTGTGTGTGAGTGTGTGTGTCTCTGTGTGTGTGCATGTCTGTGTGTGTGAGTGTGTCTCTGTGTGCGTGTGTGCACGTCTGTGTGTGTGTGTGTCTGCTGTGTGTGTCTGCATGTCTGTGTGTGTGTCTGCATGTCTGTGTGTGTGTGAGTGTGTGCATGTGCCTGTGTGTGTGTGTGTCTGCTGTGTGTGTGTCTGCTGTGTGTGTGAGTGTGTGCATGTGTCTGTGTGCGTGTGTGTATGTGTGTAAGTGAATGCCAGTACTGGCAACTGAGCTTGAGTTCTCTGGCAGAGCATCACTACATCTTAACCACTGACTCACATCTCCAGCTCTTTCTCTTTCTTTCTCAGGTTATGTAGCCCAGGCTGGCCCCAAACTTATGCTAATCTTCCTACATTAGTTGAGAGCTAGGGTTCTAGGTGTGTACATCACACCTGTCACTCTTCCCCTTGTCCCCTCCTCTCTCTTTGTCTAAAATCTCAATACAATATCAAGAGATGAAGGAAAGCTTAAGAACAAGCTCAGGTAGGAAAGGTGGGGTGACATACTGGGCAGCATACAAAGGAGGGCTGTCCCTCTAGTGCACACAAAGGGCAGGGCGGGCTGGCCCAGTTCCCTGCCCTGGGCCATCTCAGCCAGGCACCAAGTCTGATTAGCTCTGGGGCTGATAGCAAAAGCAAATGTTCTGGTTGGGGAGCAGCTCAGCACCTGCACTTGCTAGAAGCTGGAGTTTCAAAACTGCTCAGTTCCTGTTGTCGTGAAGTTGAGGAGAGAGGCCCCTACATCCTGGAGACCCGACGCTCATCTTGCAGACATCACTGTCCTCTGGGGAAGCCGGGAAAGAGAGACCACAGACTCACTAATAGGGCCTAGAGCCCGGCCCAGCTCACAGAAAGAGTCTGGAATAGTCATCAGGGGATGAGGAAATCCCTGCTTCAACCCCCAGGGGGTTCAGAAGTCTGGGCAGACACCATCTGCAGTGTCTTTGGGAGCTAGAGTGGGGGTGCGCCAGGGTTGCTGCAGCCACACCCCTGAGTGTTCCCGAGAAGCAGCCCTAATTGGCCAGTGTGTCTAGCTAGTTGGGGGCCTGCGAGGCTGTGGTGCTTCACTTTCCCCAGATGTGGTGTTTGCCTGCTGTAAAGCTGACATCACTCAGAGCTCTTTCATCACTTCCTCCAGGAGGCCAAGTAACTTTCCGACAGTTTCGACGTGACATCTACAGGATCATCTGCTGAGGCTAGCAGTCAGAGGCAACAATAGCAGGGCTGACTACTGCTTCTTGGATGTCTGGGAGGAAAGCTAAATTAATGAATATGAGAGTCCCCAGCAGCACCCCCCCCCTCCCCCATGCATAGCCAGGGAAAAGCAGACGCCAGAAGGGTGCCCCCTGCAGGGCTAGATGAGTATTTCACCTTGTGGCCAGGCTAGAGGCCTCATGGTCAGGGAGGATGGGTTCAGGGCAGCAGGCCTGGCTGGGACTCCTTGCTCAGGACAGATGTGCCACAAGTAAAGGAACAGTAGAGGCCTTCCCAAGAGGGAAGAAATGCTACACTGGGGTTAGGGGTGAATGGCCCAGGTCACAGGCCCCAGCCTACATGTCCCCATTAGTGAGTGGGGCACTTGGGGGTGGGGGAGAGCAAGCCTTTGTTTTTTTGAGACAGGATCTCATTCTAGCCCAGGCAGACTTCAACCTCACGGCAATCCTCCTGCCTCAGTTCTTTGAGTTCTGGGTTATAGGCCATGAGTCACCATGCCCAGCTCAGTGGAACTCTACAAATAATTCTGAAGAGGAAGGATGCCATCCGCACTGTGTGGTCATACCACTGACTGTCACCAGACAGAGGAGCATCCCTTCCAGGAAGACAGCCAGCGAGGGCCACTCCTGCAAGATGGCAGGCAGGCCTCAAGGGAGCTAAAGCTAAGAGTCATCTGAGGATATAAAAGCAATCATGTCTCTTCTGTTGCTGAAGTTAGTGATGTCTCATTCTCAGGCTCTGTCAGCTGGTAAGGGGGAGTCCCGGGTTCTCAGGATGCTCGCTGACAGACTCCTTTACTTGAACGAGAAAACGGGCCAGTCAGTGAGAGGGCTCAGCTGGTAAAAGGGCTGGCTTGTTGCCAAACCCAGAGAACTGAGTTGGATCCCCAGGACCCACATGAGGGGAGGGGAGCCCTCTGACCTCCACACGTGTGCTATGGTACACACTCTCCCTACACACCCATGTGATAAATACATGTAAAGGTAAACGTGTTTCCTATGACTGAGCCCCAGGACACAGACGTGCTAGATCCTTCAGCAGTCTTTCCTGTACTGGCTGACTTCAACCCTGCTTGGCTCCGTCAGTTCCCCGCCTGTAAACTGACTTTAGGACCTCTGAAGGGCGCCCTCCTAGACTCCCATTTAAGAGAAGGGGCTCTTCATTGTGTTGGCCAGTCTCGCACCACTGTACAGCTAGAGGATTTCAGACGCAGAACCAGCATTCAGATAAACTTCCAGACGGCTAGACGGTGCTAGAACTAGACACTTGGGTTGTTTTTCTCTGACTTGGAGCAAACGAAAGGCTTAGGGAGTCAGGATGCTGCCCAAGTCTGGGGAGGCAAGTGCCGAGAGGCGCATGATCAGAACCGACAAGTCCCTGTGAGCAGCAGGGAAGGGCAGTACCAACAGACGCGGCTCTGAGCAGAAGAGACGCCTTTAGGAAACGAGAAAATTCTGCCATTCTCAAGAGGAGGAAACTGCTCAAAGGAGCAGCGGCCAGAGCCATACACAGGTGCACAGAGATTTCTAGATTCATGAGTGACCGTTCACTGAGGAGTACCTGGGGTGTGCTGAGGGCCCCAGCCATGACCACCGAACCTCTGTGCAGCATGGCATTCATGCCCAAGAGACCGGAAGCTTCTGGTTCAGGGCAGGCATGGGTGAAGCCAGAATAGTTTCTACAGCTTAAAGTAAGACCCCGGGGGACAACACAGGAACAACTGGTCCAATTTGATTTCAGTTGCTCATTTCTAGCTCCAGGCAAAACCAAGCTATA